AGAGAGGACAAACGGTTTGAGAAGGTGGCCCCAGGTGTTTGTCAGAATATCATCCAAGAGGATATGCCGACAGTTGAAATCACCCAACAGGAGCACTGGCTCTGGCAAGGAGTCCAAAACGTGCTTAAGATCAGGAAGAGAAAGCATGACATGTGGGTGGAGATAAATGGAACATATTGTATAACATTTACTCAAAGACACGGGCTGCAGAACATTGGCTAGGCAATTGAAAAAGTAGGGGGACGAAGGGAATATCAGTATGAATCAAGAGAGCAGTAGAGTTTTGGGCCCCAGTAAAAGCTGGGATAGAGGGACAGAAAAAAGGAATAGCCACAAAAGTGACCAGGACGAGCACCAAGCATCGGCTCTTGGAGACAGGCACAAAGCGGTGAAAACTGTGATATCAGAAGTTGGAGTTAATTGAAGTTGCCATAAAATCCACAAATATTCCATTGAAGAACAGACATTGTCGAAAAGAGAGAGGAGAGCAGCAGAGAACAGTGAAGAAACAAAGGCAAAGAAGAACACAGGATATTAAAGAAGTTCAGGATCAGGAACAGGATCAGGGTCATTAAAATCCGGGTTAGGGGCATGGTAAACTTAGTAAGAACGATGGAGTTAAGGGAGCGGGAGGACAGATCAGAGGTGGACGGACAGGGGTCCTTAGTAGGAAGAGACAGAGGAAAGGGGCGGTCAAGGACAGCAGGGAAAGGGGGGGGGGGCAGAAACAGGGGAGCAAACCTCAGTAAGGGCAGCAACCGAGAGAGAATCGGGGGCTAAAGGAACCTCCATAGCTGGGAGGTGTCCCCATTCCACTGAAATGGAATGGGGACACAGTGATAGAGTCAGAGGTGGGGGTGAGAAAGAAAGCGATGCCTTCTTACCCATTGAGGAAAGAGGAAGGAGAGGAGCCAGGCTTATATTTCTGACTCAAAGAGACAGGTGTGCTAGTAACAACGTACTGGGCGACAGACTCGATTGTTTCGACAGGAAAAGAGTAATGGGAGCGAACAACATGAAGACATCTGGGAGGATGATGGGACAACAACCTGGACAGACAGGCTGTGTGGAGGGTCAATGGACAGGGAGAAAGGGCTGGGAAGAAGGAACGGGGGAAGACGGGAAAGGAAACACAGGAGACATGGCAGACTGGGAGGGAAGGCGGGAAACACCAGATGGAGAACCAGGAGGACCCCGTGCTTCAGAACAGAAGGGGGCAGGTGAGGTGGTGGTGGGCATATCCAGGTCTAAAGCCTGCAAACGATTGTGAGACTGAGAAAGGAGGGAACGGTGTGGAGAGGTGGAAAGCAGAACACGAGCATAAGATACATTAGTGAAAGAGGAGTCACGGTGGACTTGGTGCCTTGCTCAGGAAAAGACAAATGAGTGTGGTGCTTCAAATTGAGGATGATTTCCTCAAATTTGTAGTGTATACACTTGTGGGAGAAGGTAGGGATAGCATCACCGCAATTGAGGCATCGAGCTTGGGGAGAAGAGCACTCAGCCTTACAGTGACTCGAGTCCCCACACATAGGGCACAAACACACCACACTTGTGCATTTGAGGGCACCATGCCCAAATTTCTAGCACTTATTGCAAGGCCTAGGAGGGGAAATGTACTCCTGAATGGAGCATCTGGCACCAGCAAGAATTATAGAAGGCAGAAGGATCCTGCCATGAAAAGTGATTTTCACAACTCAAAGCGGCTGATGACGACGACTACGAGGGGGGTCTGGTGAACGTATCAACCTGGAGGACAGAATGACCTTGGGCTTCAAGGATATGTTTAATATCCCCATGGCAGTCTTTCAGGTCCCAAACACCAGTCCCAACATGGTGCGGGAGGATAACAGTGCCAATACTGGCATCTAACCAGGCATTTTTGGAAATCCTAACGGGGGGTCTCTCTAATACTGGACAATGCAGCTAAGTGGGTAGTAGCATCCTGAAAAGGAGCAGCAATGACACGTGTACCAAATCGGGTGGGGGTTGAAAGTAACAGAGGCATCCACCGAATCAACAAGGTGTTTGTGGAGGAAGAAATTGTCAGGAAGAATAGAATCTATATGGGTGAGATCAAAGTATTTTGTTCATGCAGCAGGACCAAACAAGGTGTTGAACCTATTAGCACTGGAAGGGATCGTGCAAGGGCGTCTGTGGGGAAGTCGGCGACGAGCACCCCCAGTGAGATGTAAAAGGTGCAGTTGTCACAATGAGAGAAGTAGCCACTCCAGGTGATGAGGTGATCACCACAAGGGGCTTGGGACTCAATCCTACCACAGAGGAGGGAGGGAAGTGGAAGAGGGTAGTCAGGAGGGTCAAAGAAGTAGCTTGGTCTGGGCCCAATGTTAGCGGGGGCTACAGAGCCCGGTCTTCCAACACAGTCCGACTCGGGGGCTTGATCGCCCACCCCAAGAACCTGATTAGTTATAAGAGGATCATTCAGCAGCATAGAAATGAGGAAGTAATAATTTCATTCACGAATGAGCCCCACACCCACTATGGAGTCACAGTTAGAGGATAGGACACTCAACAAGAGACAACCTGGGGCCCCCTAGGGGTGCATCGTAAGTATACACCCCACAATTGGTCCCTTAAGAACCATCATTCCATCGAGATCAGGTTCAGCAACGAAAGAAGGATTGACAATAAAAGAGACCCATCGCTCGCGACACTGGGTACCACAGTTCTACAGGTGAGAGAGTGTGCCTCCCCAAACACCCAGGCATCAAAACAGAAGATGTCTGAAAGAATAATCAAGGCTAGCAAAAGGTCGGCGGGAAAGACAATGAGAATGGAGAAGAGGGGGGGAGGGGATGAAACATAAGGAAGAGGAAACAGTGACCAGCACAATTAGTGAAGACGGCAGCAAGAGCATAAGGCCACAAAAGGACAGAAAACTGTCCCATGGAGCATCACACCCCAGCAGCCGTCTACCAAGCCCTCTCATGACGACAATGGGCTGGAAAGGGGGGGGGAGGGTTCTGACTAGGTTAGCATCAACTGATGAAAAGAAGCTATTAAATTCTGTTGCCGTTTCTAAATCTGTTGCAGGTGTACCTGTATATAAGTATTCTTGGAAAGTTTATCTGCTTGATATGTGATTGCTGTTTAGATCCTAGGATGTTAGAGATGACTTTCCATGTGCTTATTATGTTGCCTTTCGTTTCATTGAATCTACTCTCTTATTAGGAAAATTTTGCTCATCTTGTTATACTGGTATGCATTGACGAGTATCTCTTAACTACTTCCTTTCTCACTAGGCCAATCCCAAATTTTTTTCTTTTTTTAATTTTCATGTTTCTTGTTATTACTTTGATTATGCCAATTGAGAGCCAGGGGTTGTTTAATCTTTTGGCAGTTACTTGCTTGGTGAGGAGGGGACAACGAGTGTTGTAGAGGCTTAGTTTTTTGGAAAGGAATATGTTGGCTAATGAATTTATATCCTGTATATTATTGAATTCAGATTCCCAGTTAATATTGTGAAGTGCATTTGTGAGATTGCCTATTGCTGCTTCACTGTGTAGTCTCAAGGTTAGTTTCTTGGTGTCTGGTAGTGCTATGTCCATGTTTGCTATGAGAAAGGTAAGATAGTGGTTAGTTGTTCTGTCACTGATTATACCAGATGCAAGAGAAGTTGTTGTTAGTCCATATGTGATCCAATGCAGTAGCAGATGTTTGAGTGATTCGGGTGGGCTTGGTGTTTGTGGGGATTAGCATACAGGAGTTCATGCTGTTTAGGAAATAATAGACTTGAGGGTTATTTTGTTGACACAGGTCAATATTGAAGTCCTCCTAGAATTATATGATTTTTGTTGAGCTTATTGTTTATGATATGATTCTTTAGGTTATCTGAGAGTGCATGGTTAAGCAGCATGAAAACAACACCACAAGAGTAAGCCTCATTATTATAACAACCCAAATTTCATATGTCACACCTGTACTTTACATGTTATTGTCAGTTTTTACGATGTACCTTGTTGGCAGGTAAATTGTGATCCATGAGACATCAATTAAATTGGCCACGCTAGGACCACCTAGATGCCATTAATCACTGGAGTTCATGCGTCCAAGGTTATCTGATGTTAAATGACCAGACAACACTATTGAAACAGATGAGACCAACATAAATACTGTAACTAACTATTAGTAGAGTAATTTAACACATTAGCAATTAAATCTGCCATTTAATTACAGTAAGATTAAAATATGAAACTCCCCAAAATGTGTGAAGGTAAGTTCATTAGTGACAATAATCATAAAATACAGTCTGCTTAGAAGTAACAAATACAATCTCTTAAAATAATAATCAAATCAATCACCAGTAGATTTCCCCACATGTGGGACACACTCCCAAGTGCCACCAGGGAGACCATAATTATGGCACTGTTACCACACTCCCAAGTGCCACCAAGGAGAGGGTGGCACTGTGGGGCACACTCCCTGTGCCACCAGGGAGACCATAATCATAGCACTGTCAGGCACACACTATTGAGGGAACCAAATTCTGGTGGTAGTAGGCTCATGAATCAATAGTGCCTGATGTGGTATTGTAGACTTGAGAAGTATCCAGGTGTGCAACATAGGGAGCTACAAAAGTGCCCATCAGAAAGAGGAGTTCACTACATTTAATGTTCGTTTAGTATAATTAAGGTGAATATCAAATTTACGTGAATCTCTAAACGTGGCGATCAAACAGGCCCTAAAACATTAAGAAATACACAGTAGTCTAACACTGTAGGTATATAATTATTAATTATTATAAACCTACAGTGTAGAAAACTAATGTGTGTTTCTTAATGTTTTATGCCTGCAGACCCATTTTCCAATCATTATGCCCTGAACCTTAACTGAAGAGGGTGACAGTTGCCATCCAAATTGTTCTCAAGAATATGATCAAACTGTGAGAGTTGTATTGTAAAGCAATATACAATGTTTCAGGAATATACAAAGAAATTTAAAATGCAATATTTTATTTAATTATTTTACAAATAATTTTTTATATACACTTCAATATATACAACTTTTAGATTATTTTTTTTATTTTTTTTTTGAGATACATACAAGAGTTCTTACATTCTTGTAAGAACTTACATTATGTAAATTACTTTGTCTATATCAAATGACAAAACATACAAAAACAATTACTGTGTTATATTATCTCTGCTTTCATAAAAATGTCATGAAATCATTCACTATCTAAATTATACTCTGTTTCTTACATAATTTAATAAACTTTTATAATATTTAGAACAAATTTTTATGAAGTAAAAACTTCAAAAATTATATTGCTTACTGAAACAATACTAATTCATATTTGAATCAATATTATTTTTAAAACACTCATATTTTGAAAGATAAAACAAAAATTTGCATATAACTGATGATAACAAACACATATTAATATAGTTCTTTACACAAAACAGATTTTTATATAGATAAACAATAATTATATAAGATTTCATAAAATTATCACTTTGATAAGTTTTGTATACATTTATGTAGTTTAAGCTTAAAACCAACCAATTGTCTTTCCATTTATCTGCCTGAACTTTTTCTTGTTGATCTTGTCAAAGAACAGAAGACCTGATGCTCGTTCTATGACATCCGTTGAAACCTGAAATGTTGGATATTTATCAATCTCTACAGCTTTCGCTATTTGTAAATATACCTGTAGATAGTGGTATTCATATAAACATTACCCGACCACCACACACACACACCTTTGATCTGGATAGTTGTATTTTCAGAAGCTCCGGTGTCAGAGGTTATCAAAGTCGTTACGTAATGTAGAGCAGGTTATGAGTATGTGAGTTGAGTTCCATTAACTTTTAGCAAGACAGTAAAAGATAGCATATTGGGAACAAATGGATTTGATTGAAAATTTGTGATTTCACATAATGAGTAGACAGCCAGAAGGGTATTGGTGACTGGCAACATGAATATGTCAGTGACCTTGTCACAGTGATTTAACCCTTAAATTGTGCAACACATCATATGATGTGTTGAGTGACTTGCTATAAAATGTGCATCACATCATATGATGTATTGAGTACTACGCAAGATATAAACGGCCCGCGGATACACGGGGTTCACCTCACCTTCATCAGGGCTCTTGTAAACAGACGCCATTTTTTTTAAATTGTAGGCCAAATTCCCGGGTGTGAGGGCCTCAGTATTGAGTGAGCCAACAAGCCTGATGCACGCAGTATGAACTCACAGTACTGCTGTTCAGCTTGTGACCACAGCATCGCCTAAAAAGCCATAATATATATGTTCATGCTATTATTTAGTGATGATATTATTACAGAAGACCCCTGACTGTTATAAAAATGACCAGGATTCTGATAATAGCAGAATTGTTGTGATAATTAGTGCTGCAGTGGGAGGGGTAATCTTGGTGGGGAGGAAGGTAGCATTGTCTGCTGACTCTGTGTAACCACCTTTTACTGTCTGGACTCACTATACCAGCTTAGTTGTTCGCTATGGTGAACAAAACATTCAAATACTTATACATGATGTCTGTATATAAAAACAAAAACAGTATGGTGGGAGGAGAATGGTGGCGAGTCAGGTGAGGTGTGGGAGGGAGGAAGTGGCAGCCAGTGGCGGGCTGCCACTGGCTGCCACTGCCACTCAGCACACCAACTTAGTGGTTCATTATGGTGAACACAAATGTAGACACTTATATATAACGTGTATATACAGTGTAATAACAGCAAAAGGAGTGAGGGAACTCCTCACACGACTGTTCAAAAGATTTGAACGGTCGTGATGGTCGAGTGGTGAAGGTGTCCTGTACGCCAGATGCATAGTGCTCCTGGCAGTATGGGTTCAAGTCACTTCTGGGTTGTGAGTTTTCAGTTATTATACAGTGGCACCGCGACATATGATTGTCCCTACTTATGATAATTTCGAGTTACGATGTAAATTTCATCGAAAAATGTGACTCGACATCCGATGGTGTCGTCGACTTCCGATATTTGTTGGTACACGTTCAGGTCGACTGAGCGCGTGGTTCCCAGTCACCCGGCCGACCTGCCTCAGTTTACTACAGCTGCCCGCTTAGTGACGATCGTGCCTATAAGAAATTCCACTTTTGTGGTGATTTTTTGCATTTTGAACATTAAGATAATTATTATATATCATGTAATGAGTCCCAGGAAAGTCAGTGGTAAGACTTAACATATAAAAACCCATGTAAGAATGACCATAGAGCAGAAACAAGAGCACAGAATGTATCTTCCTCAACAATTAAGAAAATATGTGCAGCATGGGAAGACTTGCAAACCATTGCTGAAACGATTCACCCAAATCAAGCTGCAGTAGGTCGTTGCCTTAACCTATTCAATGACACTGTGATGCATCATTACAGACAAATGTTAAAATAAAGGGAAAAACAAATGTATCTTGACAAATTTGTAGTGAGACAAACAAGCACTGAACTACAACCAGGTCCTAGTGGTATTCAGACAAAACGTAGGAGAGAAAGTACCCCAGAGAAAACATCATGCCTGATGTGATAATGGAAGGGGACTCCCCTTCCAAATAGTAACAACTCCCCTCCTTCCCCCTCATCACCATCTTCCATACGCCATCAAGAGCCCTCCATAAAGGTAAGAGAAACTTTGGTACTGTATTGTAGTTAGAAAAAACCCAGCGTTGAATGTAATGAAACGCCATTTTCTGGGTGAGCCCCGGAGGCTCCCTGGAGCTTATCGGGCTAATGTATGTTATATTAGACCAGGACATTAGCTAAGGAGTTCAGACCTAGCAAGGATCAGCGCTAGAACCTGGCCGCTTCAGAGAGGTTTCAGGGAGCAATGGCCCTGGAAAACCCCCTTGTGGTTGGGGTTTTCCTTATCTGCCATCGACCTGGGTTAGGCACTCAGAAAGGCAGGCATAACAAAGCAAACCACCACATGGTAAAAAACTAAAACAAAAAACCGAACAGAGAGGTAGAAACTCCTACAATCCCAAGGAAACAAGTAAACAAGCAAACATCACACTTTACTGTCTCGCCGATCGTTGGCGCAGCCCTCCCCGCCCCGAGAGGGAAGGGGGGAGCCCCGGATCTACCTCGCCGGTTGCCTAGCTTCAATTCGTAAGCTAATGTCAACCGGGATAGACGCTTCTCTGGCCTCAGTTTCCTAGGCGGTGTTTGCCTTGTGTGGCGTTCACTGCCGTGTGTTGTGTTGTGCGGTGGCCAGGAGTACCTCATCAGTGCCGGGACTGCATGCGCTTAGGGGCTTCCTTCCCTAAGCGCCCTGTGAGTACTGCCCTTGCGTGACAGGGTTATCTTCCCTGGGGAGTTCGGGAACCATTCCTGTAGAGGTTCTTGCTGCTCGGCATTTGCCTCGCCCTTGGGGCCAGCTGGGGCTTGGGGCCCTTGTTTGGCCCTGGGTAGGGACTGGTATTGTGCTGGTTAGGGCATCAAGGTGTTGCGTGACCTGCCACCTAAGCGGCGACCGGTTCCTGTTGCCTCTGGAGACGGTGTACTTTTGCAGGAATTTTCTTTTGTTTTTATTTTCATTTGCCTGGTGGGGGTCTGCCTAGTGTGGCTATAGTTCCACTGGTAGTGTTTGGTGGCCCTCTGCTAGGCCCCTGTGATTGTACATGTCGCAGGGGAGAACCTCAAGAGAACCTCAAGAACCTCAAGGGGTTTTCAGTGCTATCTTCTACCCTCTTGTTATTTTTTAATCAAGTGCCGGCGGGGGGACGGAAATAGCCTCGGCTACCATCCTCTTTTGTCTGGTCGTGTTGATCGAGCGGTTAAGGGATCCTGTATGCCAGCAGAGTGCTCCTGGCAGTATGGGTTCGAGTCACTTCTGGGGTGTGAGTTTTCAGTTGCATATAGTCCTGGGGACCATTCAGGCTTGTTCGCATTTGTGTTCCTCATGTGTGCCCCAAAGAATGAGGTGATTTGATAAAATACCATGCCCAAGATTACCAACCGAGTGCCGGCGGGGGGATGGAAATAGCCTCGGCCATACTGTCAGCCATACTACCTTCTCCCCCTCTCTTAACTATCTTACTCAAAGACTTTGGTGAGTTGAATTGTAAAATTGATGTATTTTGTGTTTCCCAAAGTTATATGTTGCGTAATATCAGGGTCAGTCATCCTTGTTGCTCACAATTTCTTGCGTGTTGACTCAAAATCTGAATTAATGTTTATATTTGAAAGTGAAGGGAACTGATTAAATTATGATATTCATACGATTGAATTTTCATGAATAGATAATAAATTAATAATTGCTTAACTGATTTTTAAATTGTCTTTAATTTTGACACCTTTAATCTTGGATTCATGTCTTGCCTTATGATACAGTGAAAGCTAGAGTGGAGAGCACTGGAGTTTTACTTAATGATTAATGGTATGATTAAATGCTTGCAGTTATTGCTGATTACATCACTTAATACTGCTGAACACACAAGTTCCATTCCTTGTTTTTTAACCCTTTAACTGCGCAACGTACCTGCAGGCCCACGTCTGGGGTGCGCTATGCGCCTCCAGGTATTTGTATTTTTCACGTTCCATTCAAAACTCCTGCGGCTACATGGGGGTCACATCAGCTTCCTCAGGCCTCTTGTAAACAGACGCCATCTTTAAAAAAAAATTGTGGTCCACATTCCCGGGTGTGAGAGACTCAGTAGTGAGTGAGCAACCATGGCTGGCGCACGCAGCATGAGCTCACAGCATTGCTGTTCAGCTTGTGACCACAGCATCACCTAATAATGTCAAAATATATATATATATATATACTGTAACCCCGCGATTATCCGGGATTCAAACATCCGGAAACGCCCTTATACGGCCAAAATCGCGATCGGATAAAGTTATCACAATATCCGGCCAAAATAGCCACAGGGACCGGATTAAAGCAGGTTTAGTCGGATAAAATGTTGGGGCCCAGTTAATTTTCTGCAGAAATTACACTATCCGGTCAGTCGCCCGGATAATCGTGCCTTTGTCCGTATATGAAAACATGAGGCGGGCCATACGGTATTAATCCCGTCTGCCCGAGACTCGAGGCGCATGGTGTAGGTGGGGGTGGGGGGATGGGGAGTGGCCTATACACTACAGTACAGTAATTACTATCAATTTTAGAACAATTCATCATAGCCAAAATCAAAATAAATACTAGTAATTATGTAATAAAAAATTCCATACAAGTTTCCTAAAAACAATTTGCACAGGCTGAAGTTTCCTTCAAAAATATATATTTTTTTTCCTCCTGGCGGCCTACGTAACGTGCCTCCTCCCTGCCCCGACTGGACCCGTCCAGGCCTGGTCAAGCCATGTGCTCTCTAACCTCGTGTTACACCACAGTGCCGCGCCATTAGTGAAATATTTTTTTAAATAACTTTTTTATTTTCATAGTAACTTTGAACATTTTTGGCCAAGACTATGTCTGGTAGCAGCATGAATCGTTCTGGATGTGATAAGAGGAAGAAGGTTGTCCTAACACTTAAGGACAAGCTACGTGTTATACAACTTTGTGAACATGGCCGGTCGACCTCAAGTGTTGCCAAGGAATTTAATATAGGCACTAGTACTGTTTCTGATATAAGGAAACAAAAAGAGAAACTTATGCAATTCATTTCAACCTGTGAAAG